TGATAAAAACCAATAAAACTTGAAACACTACCCTGACTACTCAGCACGATCAACTCAACATATCAAAGTTTCGTCCCATCAAATTATTCTCCGAATCATTTGAAACATCTTTTTTGAAGGAGCTTGAAATTTTCAGAACTATTTTTAACATGATGACTGACTGGTGCATAAATTTAATACTCATTCAGGAAGGTCTCGTCTCTTTGAAAAGTTTTCATTGACTGAGTGAGCTGCGAGCATGAGTGGGTGATAAAAATAACAGCTGCATCACTGTTTTCTAATTATTAATTTTATCACCGGAATCACGATTCAACGATGAAGATTTATGATAGTGATTTTAGAGCTGGATGCCTTAAGCAATATTGTGACTGCTCGATTGCCTACACGATCACCATTCTACGGCATGTTCTCGTTGAACGTGATAGGAAAAGATGTGGAAGTCACCTCTCCACAACATCGAATATTGTCTCTAATTCATTTGTATTCAACGTTTCACGATGTTTCTCCATCAGAAGTCTTTCGTCTCGATCAAATTCACGTCCATTGCTTCGCAGTGCACCTGTTCTATCTCTGAGCCGAGTAAACGGCTTGCCACTATCTCTGTTCAGTGCAGACGATTGCCATCTGTTTGCATTCTGATGTTGTGCCCTGTCCTGAATTTGATTCGAATGATGACATGGATCAAATTCAAATTTTTTGAAACATTTTGTCTTGATTGAATGAAGTACAAAATGGTAGTTTTGTTAGAAAATTGCAGAATTCCCTCCTCTTCCTGTCCTCCTTCAGAAAAATTTGAGAGATAAGTGTGATGATCGATCAATGCGCTAAAATTCAAGGCCTAATACGATGACAGATTTCGGGGATTTTGTCCTCATCTCTGTTATCAGCTCATCAACTTGAACTATATATCTTCTCTTCTTAGGCACTCTCGTTGCTATTGCGGAAATATTCTCTACTTAAAGCACAAGAAGAATCGATAAATTGCGTAAATGCTTTAGAATTCTTTAGATAAGTTCATACTAGGTGACATGAATAAGGTGTTTCTTCATATTTCATTCATTCGTGAAAACAAAAATGTAGATGAATCCAATTCAGGGTTGTTTTGAAGAAATACATCACCACTGGATTTTCATGTAATGGTCAGAATTCATTAATATGATTTTGATGTATTGATCAAATGGTAACAAAATAATACTAGCCTATTTGATCTAATGAGTTTGATCTGCTGACTAAATACCATTCATGGGATTTGACTTAATGATCGAATAAAAACAATTATAATAGTCTTGCTCTACTGTCCGACTGGTCAATAAACTTCAGTGGCACAATTTGCAATAACAGTGATAGTAGTGTTTGTGTCCCTTGCCCAGTTTGTTGCTGTGATATCTCCGATGTTTGGCTGAGCTTGAAATTTCTTTGCAATTCTAGTTCATCCCAAATTTAATTTCTTCGACCTATTAAAGCTATTTTACAACTTCTTTCAAGAAGTAATACGTGTGAAATTGTGATTTGATTTCGGAACATCCGATTATACTAGTAATAAGTAATTTTTAAAAACCAATCGTATACTCACTTGAATCTTAACAGCCAACGAAGAATTGAAATTTGCTTTTGTGACGTTCTCGCTGGTGTCATTACTGTCAGATGCACCGACCACAGCAGATGTAGACGCAAAATATCGATGAATGCATTTAGTGCAATCACTTGAGAAGCATTTAGCAACTAAGCAATAGACATTCGGTGAATTTAACCATCTGAAGTACGAATTTTGAAACAACTTTGAGAAGTTAGAATAGAGAAAGTCTTTTTTTTTAAGGATTCATATTCAAGGAAAGTGAATTTCGGAACAAAAGGAAACTTAGATTCGAAGTATTCATCCCAGTGACTTCACTGAAGGAGTGTACTAAGGATCAAGCACCACTTCATGAACAAAAAATGGCTCATCTGTAACCGCGAGGTACCGAAAATTTTTATATTTTTCAAAAATAATTCGAGTGAAGTCAAGATGTCTTTGTCAAAATTACCTGAAACGATGGTTACATTTTGATAGACTTATCATTGCACTTCCCAATTCGGTTATTACCACAAACTTTGAAGAAAATACAATTTTCTAAGCAGATCCTGAAATCAAACCAGCACTCGTCAGTCATTCCAGCGTTACTGCAGGCCGCAAAAATCGTGAACGCTGAAATTCTTCGCTATCGGACGGCAAAACAACGCATAACTATGACTGCTACCTTAGAAAAGCTTGGAGTTTTCCGTTCAACTGAACTGATTTTGACTCGTTTCTTTTTTTGAAACTCATTGAAATCGGTAAATTCATAAATTCATCTTCATGTATCTATCACCCGAT